ACATATTTATTCAACCCAAACCAGTTGGAGTATCCATATACCCAACACTTCCCTTGGCCGGGATGCTTTCTGGGGTTTTGTGTCCACTGGCTGGGGTGTAACGGTTGCTTCCACACGCACCCCAAATAAAACGTTTCTCTGGAGGAGGTGGATTGGCTTCCGTCCGTTGCTTCTTCGGGTTGCCCTGGGTCCCAGCTGTCTTTCAAAGGTCCTGGACATTCAAGGATGGTTGATTGACAGGCTGGACCGGTTCAAGGCAAGAGACAGGCAGCTGTCCCTTTGAATGGCCACTTGTCCCTCTGTTTTAGGTGGGACTCTGGGACGATGGCTTCTCCGGGCTCCTTTGGGCTTCGTCGGTGGCTTTCTGGGCAGTTGTGGTTCTGCCAGTTGTGAAGAGTCTTCCATCACAGCGTCTTGCTTGCCTCCGGTCCAGCTGGCCGCAGGCTCTGCCTTTTGGCTAACAGAGGCCGTTTTTAACAAAACTGCCTCGTTTCAGGCTGCATTTTTTTGCTCTGTGGAGTCCGGCAGGGAACCGGGCATTACGAGCCTTCACTTCTCTGTTGTGCTTGCTTTGCTGATCCGTTGTGTGTGTCCAAAATGTCCTTACTGGGGTTGGAAAACTCCAGGTTGCGTTCCTGCGCGTGTGTGTATGTGTCTTGGTCAGAATGAGGGCCACTGCAGTGTTAGGGGCTTTTCCGCCTCCCTTCCCAGCTTCTCAAAGGAAGGATTTTGGTCTGCCGTTTTTTGTGGTGGTGGTGGTGAGTTTGGAGAGGAGAGCCTTGGTTTTTCTCCGTTGCTGTTCTTTAATTTTTTCCTCCAACCTCCCAACTCAACATGGCGGCTAATTCGGCCGCCGGATTGCACCTTCAGGAGCAAACCCCTCATCTGCTGATGTCCGGCTTGTGAAGTGACCGATTCCGGATTCCCCGCAGGGAAGTTCTGTCCCCGAGGGAGGAGAAACAGCCCCCCCACTTTTGTTCCACTGCCGGATTTGATTCTTGGCCAGATCAGGGCTGGGTCTGGCAGATCTCCTGGATCAGGGCTGGGTGTGTTTTGTGCCCTTTTCCACCCTGTAGGGGATCCACCCTGCCAGGCCAACAACCTCTTGGTTGTTTCCAGGAGCGTTCTTTCTGGCCTCTCTGAATGCCACTTGCCGTCTTTCCTCCTCTTCTCCTTTGGGTGCTCCCTCCCCAACCCTGGCTGGGAGCTGTTCTCGGCCCTCCACCCAGGCTGCCTTGGATCGTGGCCCCGGGGGGGGCCTTTGGCTATTAGGCCCCTTTCTGGCCAGGGTTCCCTGAAGCAGCCCAAGCCCCTGTTTCCAGCCTCCCTTGTCCAGACTTTAACCTTGACACCCCAACATGGCCGACGTCCTTGTCTCCTTCCCTGACAGGCGGGGGAGCTGCATTCCCCAGAGTCCCAAGAGGCGAATCTTCTCCCGCTTCACTTGTGGGGTGGTGGAAATAAAGAATGCCTGGATTGGTGTTTTCAGTCGTGGACGGATTTTCAGTGGCTCTTCTTGTGCGCCACCCAGAATTGCCTTCTGTGAGATGGGCAGGAACATCCGTGGGATATAATCAGTGGACAAATACAAGGGGAACGCTCTCTGCGGCTGCCTTCCGGTGATTCTGGTCCCGTATCCCTTCTCCTCCTCCAGGTGGCCCGTTTTAAGCATATGAGGTTTATTCCTTCCGAGGTCTGAGTGTTTACTGACTGCTTAGAAGCCAATTGAGCTGGACAGCTGGTCTCTTTCCTCTCAGGGCTTCGGCGGCCATGATGAAATCTCCTTTTCTGAACAGTCCGAAGACACCCTTGTCCCCCAGCCTGGTCCTGAGAGGCCCTTCCTGTCCCTCGTGCCTGGGGCACCTCCCAGCTCTTCCCCCCGCCCGAAGGCCATGTGGGTTCGGGTTAGTCCCTCGGGATGTTCCCCACAGGCGATCCCTTCAAATTGCAAGACTATTTTCCATTAAGGGAGTCTCTGTGGGCGGAAGGCAGAGGTGGCATTCGGCAGGTTCTGAGCAGTTCTGGAGAACCGGTAGCGGAAACTTGGAGTAGTTTGGAGAACTGGGAGTAACCTTCCCCCAGGAGCGGGGAGGGAATGGAGATTTTGCAGTATCCTTCCCCTGCCATGCCCGCCAAGCCACGCCCACAGAACCGATAGTAAAAAAAAATTGAATCCCACCCCTGGGTGGAAGCAAGTTGGCTTTGATGATCCTCCAGGGTTAGGGTGAGGGCAAGTTGCGGGAACTGAGAAGCCCTTTCGAGCCAGGCTAATGAGCAAACCCTCCTGACCGAGTTTGGCCAAGATGCGAGGCTCTTCTTAACCTGGTCAGTTTTCTACTCGGATGACTTTGTCTTTCAGCAGAAACGCGGTTGAAGAGGCTGAAGAGGGTTGTGTGTTTTTATTGCAGGCAGTCAGCTGGCCGCCCCGGAAGTGCCTCCGAGCCCCACCCAGGACCCCCCAGGTATACTTGCTTTCACTTTCGCTATTTGTAGCCAGCCTTCCCATCTCATGGCAGCAGCTTTTCCTAACCCCAAGAACCCCGACAGGGAAGCCAACTCGGACGGGAGAGGCTGAAGCGATGGAGCCGTTTCCCACCATCGCTCCAGCAAAGGATTTGATTTCTTCTGTTCGGCCCGGCCAAAGAGGGGCCAGGGCGGGGAGCCTCGGTCACCCGACTGGCTCTGGGGTGATGCCCGGGAGTCTCTTTGCAGGCGCAGCCCCCTGCCTCCCTTCCCCAATTGGATGGGCAATTTGGGGAAGTCCGAAAGGTTTCTCTCTGCGGGTGGTGTCAAGCTAGCCTTCCCTTGAGCCTTTGCGAGTTTCCCTGCTTCTTGCGGGAGGGCAGTTTTTCTGTCTTTGCTTAACCCAGATTTGGAGTTTTGGGTGTCGTGTGAAGCCGTTGGTTTCACTGCCAGGGTGACTCTCACGGCCAGAGTTGGGGCTGGGAGCCCATGGCGTTCAGACGCAGCCGGCTGAGCTGTCCTGGGGTACCTTTTGCAGGTGTCCCTCCGCTGAACCCCATGTCCATTTGGACCATCCAGACCTCTCCCGTTTCGCTGGACCCCCTGGCGGCCCCCCAGACAAGCCCGCCTGCTCAGACCCACGGCGAGGAAGCGGCTCCGGCGGTTGGTTCCCCCTCCCCCCCAGCCCTTTACTGCACCCAGATGCTGTACTGTGTGGATCTCACCCTGTTCAGATGTTCATAGCGTTACTCTCTGAGGCGGGCAGGGCAAATACACTGCGCGGGGGAGGAATCACTCCTGCAGAATCGGTTTGCAGCTGTGCCGATCCTAAATGGGGAGGAAGAGTCCTTTTCCCGCTCCCATGTCTGGGTGGGAAAATTCCTGTGTGGTGGGTTCAGGTCTGGAGAAGCCGCCGGCCCTCATCTTGGGTCCGTTCCCCTTTCGCCTCGGAGTCGGTGCCCCTCGCACCCCTGTCTCGTAGCCTGACGGTCCATCTCATTTGCTAGGTGCCCGCCACTTCCCCTTGGCTGCCTCAGCCCCAAAGTACAACAAGGGCCTCTTTGGGCACCTTCCCGAGCCCTCCACCGGCCCCCGGCCAGTTCCTGCCCCCGCATCTGTTTCCTGCCCCCCTCGGAGCTCTGGACGCCAGCCTGGGCATCCTGGGGGAATCGGCTCCACAGGATGGAGGAGCCCAGGTAGGCCTGGAGGGCTGTGTGTGTGTGTGCTCCGTTTCCCTTGCCTACTTGCGGGGAAATTGAAGGTTTCAGCTGGCAAAGGTCTTCGTATTCGGAGGGTGCGTGTGTGTGTGTGTGTTCCCTGAGAGGTCACGAGGGGCCCCTTCTCTCCTGCCCCTTCCTCGGCCCTTGTGGGCAGCAGAATTGTTGGCTACCTGATGCCACAACCCCCTACAGGGGGGCCCAGCCTGCCTGTTGTGGCTGCTCCTGCATGCCCTCTGACTGGTCCTGAAGACTTGGGGGGGGGCTCCGCTTGCCCCCCCCCCCTCCGTCGGGGGGGGGGCCCTTTGCAAAGAGGGGCCCCTGGTGGGGTTTGATGAGTTTCTGGATGCTCCTCTGATGGTTCTTCCTCCCAGCAGGGCCAGGACCCAGGCTCCCCCCTCTCTCACTCTGTGCCCACCGTGACCCTTCTGCCTCCTCACGCCTTGCCAGGGGCCCAGAGTCAAAGTGCATCCTTGGGGCCGATGGCGGCGGCAGCAGCAGCAGCACCGGGCCTGAGCCCAGAGCCCCCTTCCCAGCAGCAGCCCCACCCACCCTGCCCGAAGTCAGCCCCGGGCCCAGGCACCCTGGTGAGTGGGGCCTCTTGAGTCGGCCTCTCAGCAAGAGCCCCAAAATGGTGCCAGGAAGGTTTCTGGACTGCTTCTTCCACCGGGTGGGGGGTGGGGGTGGGGGAATATTGGCCCCACCCCTTTTTCGCTGCCTTTTCCGCTTCGGCTGTTGTGCCAAAGGGTCCTTGCAAAAGCCCAGTTGTGGCTGTTCTGGACGCCTCTGCCTGAGGAGGGAAGCCACGGGGGGGCGGGGGATGGAGCCCCCAGGTCGAGAGGGGCTTCCTGTTTGCCAGGAATTCCACGGAGAAGCTCCTCGTTTTGCCACAGCTCCCTTCCTGGCCTGCCATGGCTGACTTTCCTTTCCACCAGGGGGACCCCCACTTTGGGACCAGAGAGGCTGCCTCCCACGGGCTGCTGGGTAAGCTGAACGGGTCCTTCCATGCCTCCCCAGTCTTGGGCCCCTCCTGGAGGACCTGGGAGGCCCCCTGACTTCTGCCTTCTCCCCTCCCCCCGAGCCCCTCCCACCTGCTGCCCTGAAGAAGGCCGGTGGGAGCATGGCCAGGGCTGCTTCCCCCAGGCTGGCCAGAGGGACCTGCTGCCCCTTCCTGGGAGGGTGGGGGGGTCCCCTGGTGAACCCCAGCCCTCCCCAGGGTCTTGGGGAGTTGAGCTCTCCACCACCATCCTGGAGCCACTAGGGAAAATGTCCCATCCTCCCCTCCCCTGCCCCCCTCCAGGGCGGAACCCTCTGCCTGACAGGAGCAAAGCTCTGTCTGCCTGGGTCTCAGGTGCTCCTAGAGGCGTAGAAGGTGCCCTCTCTTTGCAGGTAAACGCCGGAGGCTGGCCGAAGGGGGCTGGAGTGCCTCCCCTGCTGGCCCCTCCCCCTTGGCCCTCCCCGATGCCCTGGCGCAGCCACCTCCGGTGACCCTCGAGTCCCTTCACCGTTCGCTGGAAGACTTGCGCATCTCTGTCCTCCGCAACCGTAAGTGGGGCGGCCGCTTCCGGGACCTCCCCCCTCTCCCAACCTGTGGGTCTGTTCCAGCAGGGTGGCAGCCCCTTCCCCCTCCTCCCTCTTCCCCCCAAAGCCCCTCCTGATCATCCCTGGTTGCCTCCTTCCGCAGTTGGGGCTGTCCATAGGCAGATGGAGGCCCTGGAGAAGAGGATCCACACGCTGGAGCGCTGGCGGGCGGAGACGGAGGGGCGCCAGTGTGGTAATCATCATATTCTGTAAGTCCTCGTACAGTTTTGTATAAGATCTGGGGATTTCACAAACGCTCCTCATGGGGGAAGTAGTGCCTTTATGATGGGAGTTTGGTCCTGTTTGGGTCTGCAAAGCTTAGATGGGCCAGGTATGTCGGTGAAAGTTCACAGTACCCAGCCGAGCCATTCCCATGAGACCTTTGGTGCCTGGATATTCTCACGGGACTTTCCGCAGTCTATTATCAGCCCTGCTGAGGTTGAGGTCATTGTTTTGATTTTGTACTTGCATTTTCTTAAATAAATACTGCTACCCGAGTTCTCTCGGGGCTGGCATTTGCTCAGACGTTTCCCTGCATCTTATTTTTCAAATGCCAGACCACCACAAGTAATGACCCCGACGTGATAGTTTGGAAGGCTATACGTTTCGACGTGATAGCTTGAAAGCTATATGTTTCCTGCATCCTATACTCATCGGCGCGGACGTCGACTGGGCCCTCATCTTCTTCGCTGGACGGAGATAGATTCTTTTCGTGAGTATGGGGGGAGGTCTCTCGAAGGCTCAGACAAAGCATCTCAGGGAATTGAGAGAGATCACTGGGAATAGTTTTAAGTTTGGAGTTCATAGTAGAGGACATGCAGTAGGAAAGAAAGAAATTGAGGACTTATTACAGTATGTTTGGAAACATATTCCGTGTTATCCAGAGGGAGGTAGTATTAAAGTAGAGTCCTGGAAAAAGATAGGGAAATTTTTGCACGAGGAGCCTCATGCCCCTTCTTCAATTTTGTTAACCTGGAGGGTGCTTATGGAAGCGTTAGCTACTCATGAACAACCGCTCCTAGCACCCCCCGAAGAAGGTTTGCCGCCTTACCATGCGGTACATTTATTGCCACCGACAGCACCTCCAGATAAATCCAGAGGACTGTCAGGCACTGAAAATACTTTGTCAGAAGATAAGAGTTTGCCTTTAAGAGTTCAAGTAGATGCAGTTACTGCAGCTATTCAAGAAGCAACAGATAGAGGGGAATTATCAGGAGATGATTTGGTAGAATTTGGAGTGGAGATTCAACTTAATCCAGTAGAAATTGGTGTGGATGCTGCTTTAAATCAACAAAGAGATGGAATACCAGAGGAGGGGTTCGTTCTTCTCCCACAGTTAATTTTACAAGCCGTAGGGACTCTCCCTGACGGCAAAGGTGGTGAGAAGACCTTTACTAACATCAAACAAGGGAACAATGAACCCTATGAAAATTTCATTAGTAGATTGAAAGTGGCTATTGAAAGGCAAATTGATAATCAATTTGCACGGAACGAATTGCTTTTGAAGTTAGCAGTAGAACAGGCTAACGCAGATTGCAAAAAGATGGGGAGTCAGACTTTTAACATGGAGACTTTAGCTCTGGCTCTCCAGGCAGGAAATGCTAAAAAAGAAACTTTTTTCAATTGTGGGAAGCCTGGACATTTTAAAGCGCAATGTCGGGCTCCTGGGGGGGGGTCAAAGTCAGCAAAAAAAGAGATTACTGGGACAGGGTGTGACCTAAATCAGTAATCAGTATATCAGATGCTCCTAAAGTTTTTACTGATGGAGGAAAAAAAAAAAATTTTTTTTTTTGGTGCTTGTGTTTGGAAAGATAAATCTGGAATTTGGCATACAAAAGTGACATCAGAGCAGAAGTCTGCCCAGCAGGCAGAACTTGCTGCTGTAGTTTTGGCTTTTCAAAATTTTCAAAATCAGGATTTTAATCTAATAGTGGATTCTTTGTATGTATATAATTTGTTACCCTTTGTAGCAGGTTCTTATTTGTCTCCTGGAATATCACCTAATATTCTACGTTTGCTTTTGTTGTTGCAAGGATGTTTGGAGCAGCGTGTGAATGTGTGTTTTGTTGTCCATATTCGTAGCCATAGTAATTTGCCTGGAATTTTATCACAAGGCAATGCCAAAGCTGACAGTGCTGTAACTTCAGTTCTCACTGTCCAGCCATGGGACAGCCATAGTTATTTTCATCAAAATGCTAAAGCGTTAGCACATCAATTCAAGCTTACTACTGCAGAAGCTGCTGCCATAATTCAGCAATGTCCAACTTGTTCAAAACAGGGCACGGCTATCCCTATGGGAGTCAACCCCAGGGGGTTGAAACCTTCAATGATTTGGCAAATGGATGTTACTCAGTATCCATCATTTGCACCTTGGAAGTATATACATGTGACGGTGGATACTTACTCGGGATTCCTAATGGCTACTCCTCAAAGAGGTGAAGCGGTTAAACATGTCATCAATCATTGCATTAAGACATTTTCAGTTGCTGGTACGCCTCAAACTTTAAAAACAGACAATGGTGCGGCTTATCGGAGCACAGTCTTTGATCAGTTTTGCAAACAGTGGTCCGTGGAACATAAATTTGGAATTCCATACAATTCCACAGGACAGGCTATTGTGGAGCGTTATAATGGCACGCTCAAGAACATGTTAGCTAAATTAAATAAAAAAGGAGGGAAGCTCCTGGGGCTTCCGGCAATTCAAGATCATTTAAATCTTGCTTTGTATACTTTAAATTTTTTAAATTTGTCTGGTAACCCCCCTGCGAGCGCGGCCAGCAGGCATTTTTCTTCTCCTTCTACAGATGCAGTGAGGCCTCGAGTGTTGGTGCGATTCCTTCCGGATCCGGCATGGGTTCCCGCTGAGCTGATTACGTGGGGACGTGGTTATGCAGCAGTAGAACATCTTGGTCAAATTCGTTGGGTTCCTGGTCGATGTATTCGGC